TTATAACACAGAATATAGTTAGCTTAAGCTGATGGTTTTATGCAGCAATCCAAAAATAAAGCCCTGGAAACATATCAGTACACTGTACTACCCAAGGTCATACTAGCTGCAGAGGCAAGACTGTAATAATAAACAGCTGACTGGGAAATATTTTGTAATGGTTTTTTTTCTCTCAATTTTATAAGGCTTATACTTTATAACAATGTTCATAATGCTGGCAAAAAGAAAAAATTATAAAACAATAAAGCAATTAAGTAATGAATGAAGCAAATGAAATCCAGATCCTTTTATGAAAGGAGAATTAAATCCATATCCCCCTACTTACAGATCTCGTGTTTCTCAGACTAAGCCATATGTAATATAAATTGGGGAAGTAAAGTAGGCAGTGTTTGCATGGAGAATGAATTTTTGAGGATTCTAAAGGAATGAACATAGATGATCCATGAAATTAAAGGGAACACAGGGTGTAGCCATACTTCAAAGATTAAGACCTTATTTCGTATATCCTATTATCTTTCATAACTATGTCCATTCTTTGCCAATGCTAACTGCAAGGTCAGAGGTTCAAACCCACCACCAGCTCCTCAGAAACTCTGTACATAGTCACCATGAGTTGGAACTGGCACAATGGCACTTAACAATAACAAGAAGAAGAAAAGTATTTTATGCTTCCTTTTCTTCATATTCATAAGCAAACACACAATATGAAGGGCTTCAAAATGTCCATGGAAAAACTACATTATTTTTATTCCATTTTTCCATAAACTTTTTGAAGCCCCTTCAAAATGTGCAATTTGCTTCACATGAAGGTGAGTAAAAAATTTATTGCTACAAAAAACAGACACTTTTATTATACAACAATATGAAAATAGGAAGCTATTGTTTCTCAGCATATTCTAGTAGGTCTGTACACTTCTGAATGTGGTGTTTCCATCTCTGAAAACCTTTCCCAAATGAAATTTACACGCTTTGATTTACAACATGTCAACATGGCAGGGTTAGTATCCTTAAGGAAATCAAACTGTGATCCTTTAGAATATTCTTCGAGTTTGTGGAGCAAAAAGAAATCTGAATGGGCAAGAGTAGAGCTGTAGGGTAGATAGAGCACAGATTCCCAATGAGATTTTCTTAGGACCAGCCTTGCTACCCTTATAGAATGACCCGGTGGAATGTCATGACTGGAAACCATTTCTTAGCACAACTTTCCTGTCCTTTTTTTTCTCTCCAATGCAGTTTTCCATTTTCTTAAAACGCTCCAGGATCATCATATGTCCTTTGAAAATAATCTATCAAGATTACCCCTTGGGAATCCCATAAACAGTCGCTATACCCTTCTGAGCTAATCTCTTTAACTGGCTTAGCAGATCCCCTCAGAAGCCACCATTGGGATTGGACATTTTTTTAATTTATACCCTGGAAGGCAGCCTAATGAAAAGAAGACAAGTATAGTACTGAGAGAACTTGTCAGCAGTCATCCATTGGTCATAGAGACATGTTTAAATATAGTTTGGAATAAATCTGTGCATGTCTGAATAGGAACATTAGTAGCAATATTTTTTAATTGCCCTGTGTGTGTTTATATTTTCTTCCTTTCTTATTAGCACTTGGCTTCCTACCTTCCTACATATCAGTCTGCTATACCTGCTTGAGTAGCTCAGAAGCTCAAGACTCTTAGTCTAGAAGTATAGGAGGTTTGGGAAAGGAGGAGCTGGGGGTACTCTCAAATATAACAAAGCTGGCTTCAGCATCAAGGTAGCCCATAAAAGACTGCATTTATGGCTGAAGGGGTTCTCTTAGAGGGAAATCTCCCCTATGCTGTCCATGTGTGAAAACAGGCCTCTTTAGGGGAGGAGGAAGAAGCAGTCTCTACTTCAAGGAATCTGTAATCTCTTCCTCTTAAGATCAGGATTTACGGTTCATAATTCTGTGATAAATGATGCCAAAATTTAACTCTGTGGTTTATTCCACATCATTCTTCTTCCCAGCTTGAGCCATACCTGCCTTTGCATTCCCAGTGATTTAGAGTATTTCTCACAGACTTCTCTCATTCTGAATATTGTTTGTTGTTAGAAAAATAGAATTAAAAAATAATGTAATTTTTCCATGGATATTTTAAAGTCCTTCATACAGTGTGTGTGCTTATGAATATGAAGAAAAAGAACTCATACCAACACTATGTCCAACAGAATGAAACCCTACCTGATCCTGTGTCATCCTCACAATTATTAAAACAAACAAACAAAATCTCATTGAGGTTTTTCTCTTTATCCCTGGCATTCTCCTTTACCAAGCATGATGTCTTCTCCAGGGACTGATGCCTCCTAATAGCATGCCCAAGTACATGAGATGAATTTTCACCATTCTTGCCTCTGAGGAACACTCTAGCTGTACTTCATCCCAACCAGATTTGTTTGTTTTTCTGGCAGTCCATGATAATTTCAATATTCCTCACCAACACCATAACTTAAATGCATTTATTATTCTCTGGTTTTCCTTATTCATTACCCAATTTTCATATGCATGTTGTTGTTATTGGTGTTGTTATGTGCAGTGGAGTCAGTTCCGACTCATAGTGACCCTGTACAGGGTTTCCGAGGCTGTAAATCTTTATGGGAGCAGAAAGCCTCATCTTTCTCCCACGGAAGAGCTGGTAGTTTTGAACTGCTGACCTTGCGGTTCACAGCCCGATTCATAACCACTACACTACCAGAGCTCCTTTTTCATATGCATATGAGGCTATTAAAAGTGCCATGATTTGAGTCAAGTATACCTTAGTCTTCAATGTGACATCTTCCTTTTTCACACTTTTGCAGCTGTACAATAAGTTATTTGTTTTATTGACTGCTGCTTCCATGGATGTTGATTGTAGATCCAAGTAAAATGAAAGCCTTGACAACTTCAATATGTGCTTTGTTTATCATGATGTAGTATAATGCTTGAATTATGAAGATTTTTGTAATTTCCGTTCTTTATCTATAAGTATTTCAAGTTCTTTTCATTTTCAGGAAACAAGGTTGTGTCATCTGAATATCTTAAGTTGCTAATAAATCTTCCTCCAATCCTGAAGCCAACTTCTTCTTTTTCTTCTTCATGTAATCCATCTTCCCAGAGTATTTGCTTTGCATACAGATTGAACAAGTATGGTGAAAAGATACAACTCTGATGCCCATCTTTTCCTGATTTTAAACCATACAGTATCCTGTGTAGGATTTCCGAGGAGCAGCTGGTGAACTTGAACTGCCAAGCTTGCAGTTCAAACTGACTTTGCAGTTCAGCACATTAACCCACAGCATTATCCAGGACTCCCATGGATCTATATTAGACAGACTATTATTAGTTATACAGTCACTAGTGAGACAAATGAGGAATTTAGTCCCTGAAATGGTACACTGTATCTGTTTAACATCCTGGCATCTTAAAAACTTTTAAAAACATAACCACATTTTCTAATGCAATACATAAAAGCCATTCTTCATTGTTTGTCCACCTTGGAAGGGAAGAATCATAGAGACCAGTGTCTAAAGCATTTGTCTTACATAAAATAGTAAACCTAAATGTGTAGCTGGGACTCTGTCTTAGATCTTTTGCCCTAAAGCCAAAGACTCCAATTTATTAAATGTTGAACTGAATTATTATCGGTGAGATTGGTGGACAGTTATTTATGTTTAGGGTTTATGTTTGTGTTTATTTTTCTTAGGTGGTAAGGAGAGTGTTTGGAAAATGAAGGTCATGAGTAACACTTAAAAATGGAAATTTTACTACTGATTACTGTATTACTGCTTCAGTATAGTGACTTATGTTATTACACCTTTGATTAAAGTTATTTTAAATCCCCAAAGAAAACATTGTAGTTAGAAATCAACACCTTGTGAAAACATTCTCTGCCTACTAGGTAGGAATGCCTAAAAGAGGCTGTAATTTCCATTAAAAAATTATGGGCTCAGCAAAAAATTAAAAAATTAAAAAATCCAGGAACTAGTTTTTAAAAGTGAAACAGAAGTCTACTTGGATATAAACAACTATAGTAACTCCATGCAATAAGCACTATTCTTCTTATATTGTAAATATGAAAGCTGAAGCTTGTTGTTAAGTGCCTTCCAGTCAGTTCTGACTCACAGCAACCCTGTACAAGATTTCTAAGGAGTGGCTGGTGAGTTTGAACAGCCAACTTTGCAGTTCAAATCAACCTTGCAGTCCAATGCATTATCCTGCAGCACCACACCAGGGATCCAAATCAATGAGTAGGAAAACATATTCCTACTTACAGAAATACTTTTCACCTTTTAATTCAGTCCTAACTTTACAGATTTATGATTTGGGTGTTTTTCATAACATGTACATTGGAAAAGTGACATTTTAACAGATCTTGTTGTGTGCTAGACTTGTCTTTGTTTATTTTGCTATAAATACAAGATGTGAATGTTTACAGGAAACTACTAATGACCTTTGACAAGAACCTACTATTATCACTTATAATGGAATTGTTGCTGTTGTCAAGTGTTGTCGAGTCGACTCCGACTTATAGTGACCCAGTATAGGGTTTCCAAGGAGCAGCTGGTGAGCTTGAAC